AGGGAGATGGAAGGGAGAAGCAGGCTCCCCACTGAGCAGGGAGCAGGATGCTGGATGCTCTATGTTCAATCCCAGGACCCTGAGATCATGACCAGAGCTGATGTTTAACCAACTGAGCCACCCAGGCACCCCTCCATTTATTTTAGAGAGAGAAGGGGAGAGAGAAAGCACACACAAGTGAACAGGGGGAGGGACAGAAAGAGGGAGAAAGAATCTGGAGCAGACCCTGTGCTGAGTGCAGACCCTGAGACCACAACCCCAGCTGAAACCAAGAGTCAGTTGCCCAAAGGAGCCAGCTACCCAAGCACCCCACAAATGAATTTAAAGAAAAGAAATTCTGATGATGAAAATATTTCAACTGAGAAGTTAAAAATATGAGACCAAAAAAAAAATCATGTTGAGATTTCTACGTCAAAAATCTCTAGACCACATAAACTATATGAGCTCAATTTTTTTAAAGATTTTATTTATTTATTTCAGAGAGAGACAGACAGAGTGCATGAGGCGGGGGGGCAGGGGTGTGCAGAAGGAGAAGCAGAATTCCTTCTGAGCAGAGAGCCCAATACAGGGGTTCCATCCCAGAACCCTGGGATCATGACCTGAGCACGCCTATGAGCTCATTTTTTTAAAAAACAGGTTATAGAGGGGAGATATATTTTGATGCTATCTAAAACCTGGTAAAAAAAATTCTTTAATAATTCTGAAAGTTTCAAATCCCGTAAGTCATTTTAAAATTAAGATAAATTTGAGGACTGCCAAAGGGCAGCATCTGTGTGAGCTAAGGCATGTAGCAGATGATTTAACATTCGATACCAGAAAGTTCTGAATTCAGAGAGAATATCCAGATCAGAAAGAAGTGGGCAATTACAAGTCTCTAGTGAAAGGAAGTGGAGACCGACATTTTTTAAGGCTTACTAAAATTAATCCCCTCTACTCAGGATCTGCAGAAACATTGTTACACTTAGAGGTTGAAGTGCTTGGTCTTCTCTTCATCCAGGAATTGGTGGCAGCCCTAAATGAATCACATATATGAAAATAAAGGACAGCTGCCTGGACCATAAATATTACGTTATGCTTGTCACTTAAAAAAAATTCTCTCTCAATTTCCTTCAATTTTGAAGAAAGATTTATTTATTTTTAGAAAGAAAGAGAGAGGGTGTGTGTGTGTGAGTGGGGAGGGGCAGTGGGCAAGGGAGAGAATCCCAAGCAGACTCCCTGCTGAGCACAGAGCCCTGTGCAGGGCTGGATCATATGACCCTGAGATCATGACCTGAGCCAAAATCAAGAGTTGGGTGCTTAACTGACTGAGGCACCCAGGAGTCTCTCATTTCAATTTCTAAGTAATAAACATGTTTGTAAAATAAAATGGAGTGGTACTTTTTTATTTTTTAGCATATTAGAGCTTTTTGTTTTTATTTTTAGTTTTTCCTAGTGCCATTTAGAATTGCCTTTTGTTTGATTTTACTTATCCAGCAACCCATGAGCCAGCAAGTAAATAAAGTATTTGTAATTCAAAAGACGATTCAAATGAAGACAGGATCATCTTGGAGTATTCACTCTAAACCTGAATCCTCAAATGCTTCTAATCTCTTTAAACATTACTCTGGTTCAAGTATATTTCGGATTTATGATTTCAAAGGGCTCAGTTATCTGACAAGAACAGGAGCATATTAAGTCTCTGCATAATAGTTTTGAAATGGCATGCACATTAGACACTAAGCAGTTATTAAACCTTGCTTTTAACCTACCAGTTTTCTAAATCTTCCCTCCACAGCTTGATTCCCAGTAGAGAAAAAAAGTAACTCAAACAAAAATTTTCCTGTTTACTGCAATAAGCTATTTAACTTATCTGTGCACAAGGCTGAGAAATTATGGAACAGGGATTAATGTATTTGCCCATAGGGGACCTTGCATAGATGGTTAGCCTGAATTTTCATTTGTATTTTCAATTCATATAAGGATTACATATTTTGACCCACTTATAAATTGAATGACATAACAAAATAGAGCACTATTTTCCTACTTGCTATTTAACTAATGCTGACAAGTTACTTTCAGCTCTTTGAACTTAATTTAGCTTATTTGTAAATGAAGATAACAATATAGCCTGGTAAAACAAATGAACTAATATTAAAGTGCTTTGACAACTATAAAATATTATGTAAGTGTAAAAAATTATATATTATGCTACTTTTATATGAATAAAAACTAGCTGGTTATTTCCTCATCATGCCTTTTATAAAGAGAGGAAAAAACAGAAAGATACTGTTTTGAAGTAGTCTGAGAATTGAGATTTCAAACTTAAGAAACACTTTCCTAACAATTAAAATAAAGTAATATAGGTTAGTGCTAAAATATACTTAATCTAGCCACTTGAGTTTTACATATTAAGGAAAGATTCTTGAAGGCTCATATAAAACATATCAGCAGAACAGTCACAAATGATGGTGGAAAGAGAAGAACTGAAAACAAATGTTACACTTCCCAATTTGTTCTCAGTCATTCCCGGCTAGAACATCTAGGGTTAGGAGTAGAGTTAGGGGCAGGAGCAAGGGCAGGTTTAGAGTCTGGGTTACAGTTTTGGCTAGATTACAGCAGGCATTTTAATTAACACTTTTTTTCTCTTAGCCAACTGGAAAATAATAAAATTTATGATGATGAGAACACAAAGTGGTCATGTGTGAATATAGAACGTGTATATATGTTTTTACATAAAATCACAGTTCATTACACCTTACAACAACCCTATTAATTTTACTTTACAGGAAAGAAAACTAAGGCACAGAAGAGTTAAGTAGGTTGAGCAAGGTCACACAACACTACCAGGCTCTTGGGCTTTTTTATTTTTTAAAAAGCCATACTGAAGTTCAGATTATATACATAAAATTTATCCAACTTAATATACAACTCAATTGAGTTTTGACAATTTTACAAGGTTCAACTGTCATTACAATCCAGTTGAGACATTTTCATCAGGCCAAAAAAACCTCTCATACCTATAAACAGCTGGCCTTTAAACAACAGGGCTTAGGAACATCAACCCCATCCCACTGGAAAATCCACTACTGATTTCCCAAGAACTACTAATAGCCTACTGTTGAGCAGAAGGCTTACTACCTCACTAATAACATACAGTTGATTAAGATATTTTACATGTTATATGTATCATATACTGTAGTTTTACAATAAAGCTAGAGAAAAAACTTAAGATCATAAGAAAAAATATGTTTACCATACTGTAAAAAACCTGCATAATAAATGGATCCACACATCAAACCCATGTTTTTCAAGGATCAAGGGTATAGTCAATCCCATCAGAACCCCCAGCCCTAAAAAACCACAAATCCCCTTTACCTATAGATGTCTTCTCTGGGCATTTCATAGAAATGGGAGTCATATCAACATGTAGTCTTCAGCACTGGACTTGTTTTAATTAGCATAAGGGTTTAGAGGCTCATGTATACTGCAGTGTGTATGACCTCATTTCTCTTTATTGCCTAATGGTATCTTTTGTTGGGATATCCTGCATTGTATATCCATTTCCAGTTAATGGACATCTAGGTTATTTCTACTTTTCGGCTATTATAAATAATGCTGCTATGAACACCCACATACATTTGTACTGACAAATATTTTCAGTTCTCTTGGGTAAATACCTAGGATTGAAACAGTTTACATGGAAAATTTATAACTTTTTGAGAAACTTTTCAATAAATAGCCAAAGTGGCTATTATTTTAAATTCCAGCAGTAATGTATGAGGGATTTGTTTTTTTCACACTCTAACACTCACCAGAGCTCAAGAACCCCACCACTACCCTCTCTGGCCTTTCACTGACCACACGTGTGTCCCAGAATGTTGGACAGGAGAGAGGAAGAAGCTAAGTGAATGGAGAAGTAAGGGAGACAGAGATCCTTACACTTTTTCGAAGACAACCACATCGATTCCAACTGATGAACCTATATTGACCCATCAGGGCCCTCTGAGGTCCAAGTTTACATTATGATTCACTCTTGGTTTGTAGGTTCTATGAATCTGGACAATAATAAAATGGCATGTATTCACTATTATATGTGATGATGATGATCCTAAATCCTGCAGCTATATGGTAATATTAACAACTATATTGCAATAGCAAGCAAACCAATGTGATAAAATGGGAAGAACTATCCTTAATAGAAGAATTATGTTAGCAATATTTAATGGGCAATCTATAATAGCAGGTTTATTTACTGTATATTGAAGTTAGAAATATTTTTCATGTTCCTTTAAATTTCTTTTAAAATAACCAAATACTTGTTAAAGCAAATCCTTGTCAAATATTAAATACTGTATTTATAAATTTTTACCAAAAATCAAATTTTACCTCTAATTATATTTTCTACCATAAGAGGATATACAGTGAAAGTAACTTAAGAAAATACTCTTATCAGTTCAAGGTTATCCTTGCTTGTTGGCAAAAGTGGTTAATCACAAGACCTAAGGACACTGAAAGTGACCAGAAAAAAATACAGGACAAATCCCTCAACAGATGACTTTTTTTCTTTGTTTGCTTATGAAAGACATTCATAGTTCATAAGGGATTTAAAACTCTATGGAATTTTATATACAGCCAAACAAGAGGATGTGCGGTATTGTACTTGGAAAATAATGAACAGAATATAAGAGTACTACAATTGTTATAAAGCCAAACCAAGTAGACTATTTTTATAAACAGCTTTTCTAGCAAAAACATACGTAACTATATTCCATGTGTAATCCCACTGTAATAATGTATCTCCTCTCAAAAAAAAAAAAAAAAAAAGGTTGGCTGACATTTTCTAGACAACAACAAAGTAATACAGACTATAAAAATATCGAGCATATGTACAGCTTTGTCATCAGGAAAATGTTAAACAGAATTGTTGAGAACTTTACAAGGAGAAATCAAAGAGACTGATCATATAAAAATAATAAAACATGACACTAAAATGTCATCGAGGAAACCTCTAAAATCATTACCTGGAACCAGTTCCATAATGATGTAGATAGGCTGTCTTTGTGTGCAAACGCCTATAAGTTTGACAATATTGGGATGATCGTATTGCTTGAGAATTCTGAATGAGAGGAAAGTGTAAAAATAGTTACCATTTAAATACTAAAACATTAAATCATGAATAGTGTGCCCAAGTAGAATATACTTTACTTGACATAATTCTCTTTTTTAAAACTTTAGTATGAAGCCAAATTATGATAAATGATGGGATGTACACAAAATTGGATAAATATTGGCAAACTACAGGTACAAATGAGTCAATTCTCCTTAATCCAATTCAATTTTCATTTAAAAATTACTGAATAAGTAACAACCATGCTAAATATGAACAACTTACTTAGTCCCAAATACGTATAACTGCCTTTAAAGTATCTCGTTTTAGCTACCACAAAAGGGTAACTGGTAAGTATTAATGGACCAAAAACTGTAAGCTGCTAGATTGGCATCTCTTTGTTTTGTTGTTTTAGGACACACTTGATTGAAAATACATAAATAAGAATTCAATTCATATTGGTAAATGCTATAGGCTAATTATCTCATCAGATTTTATAAAATACTATCTTGATGAACATGATCAATTTCAAAATAGTAAAAACTCAAAAATTTTTAAGAAAACTGGCTTAAAGATTAAAAATAATTAAGTAGCAGTTTCAATATAGACTTAAGCTGAAGCAGAGGGGACTTTGCTTGGATAAAGACAAAATTTCATCCAAGGGCTATAAAAGTAGCATAGCCTCACCCATGGCACTCCAAGCATAAGTTAAAAATAAATTAGATTCCATCGTAGGCCTATTTACCCTGAATATTTCTGTTACCAAATTTTATTCCGGATTATCCTACTGACATAGTTATAAATTCACTCATATTTGAAAAATGCAGTTTTCTTTCCTAAGAGAATGAAAAAAAATAACTATTGGGAGAAAGATAAAACAGTTTAAATGTTTTGTACAAATCCAACTGAAGCAGAGATAACTCTAAGAAAAAGGCTTTAGATTGAAAATATATAATGATTTATAAGGGAAAAGATAGAGTGGGAAAAATTCTAGAGATAAGGAAAATATCGTCACTAACTTGGAGCTTGCAACTTTTATGAGGAATTAAAAAAGAAGTCTTAAAATGTTTGAGTTTAATCCAAAATGTCATTTTCTTACGTTGGAAACTGCTTAGTAAAGAAAGTCCACAAAATAGCCAGGCTGAACTCAATATTAAGTATCTAAATATATAGCTCTATTGTCTATTTAATGATATTTGGGAGTTCCCATGGCTACAACTCTCCTTTTTAACCTAAAACTTCATAATTCCACTTTAGAAAATGGACTTTTCCACTTTAAGAAATTTAATACTTTATTTTGTAATAAAACAATCACAAATTAGAGAGCAAGAAAATGAACTATTTTTTCAAAATAATGTAAGATATAACCTTGGACCTTAAGAATACCTATGTATTCACAATGAGCCTATGAATTTCTTTTGTGATAGCATGCCTTTATCACAGCATATTGTTGACCTTCCAATAATGTACCTTTAAAAAGTTTACAACTTTATTCTATGATATTTAATAAATGCATCCAACTAGGTTAATCCATTGCTATCAACATTAATTTTTAGATAACGAATGGAGAAATGTACATCAAAATGCTCCATCCTATGGCACTAGTTCTCTTGTTGCCATCATCTTGGTTCTCTGACAGCACTTTATAGGAACTTCAATTTTATACACTATGCCATGATAAAGACACACCTAAACACATGCACACGCACATGGGCGCACACACACACCCCTTTCCCTTTCTCCCTTTACAACACAAATCTCTATGTATTCTCCTTCTTTCCCATCCATGTATCCATGCATCTCAGAATGAGAGTTCATCCTTACTCTGTCCAAAACATCTTTCCATTTTTTTGTGCTGTGTTGTATATACTGTATTTTACCACTAATAGAACCGTGTTAAATTTAGCCAATAATCCTAGAATATTAGAAAAGAAACAATGTGCAGATTTTGGAACAAATGCCCAACAATGAGTTGAAGAAGAAATATGAGGTTCTTAGAAAAGAAAGTTAACAGCTCAGTAAAGACTATCAACTGAAAACATCTAAGGAAAGTTAGATATAATTATATGTATCTAAATATATATACATAAATTATGTATTTGTATATATAGTAATATTTTTATTATAAAGACAATCACAACATTGCATATATACATGCCTATGTAATGTATGTGTGATAAAAGCAAAAAATACTGCAATATACCAATACTGAAGAATACTCACTGTTTTTTAGCACCTGGTTCTTTTGAGCGTGACTGTATAACTAATGTATAATCTGCTCAAAAACAAACTTTTTGTTTCTACATTGTATAAGTGCTTACTTATGAGGGTTCTAAAAGTGCTTACCTCTATTTCAGTAAATCATAATTTAAGATAATTCCAAACATCACATTTAATGTTATAGTGTTACCTTATAAATACACGTTTAATATAACTTTTGTAAACTCACTTGGCTTCTTGTAAAAATTTTATTTTCAGTTCCTGAGGAAGGTCTTCTTTACAGGTTTTAACAGCAACAGCAGTTTTATCCTTTAATATGCCCTTATATACTTCACCAAAATTTCCCTGAAAATACAAACACATTTATTGTTTAGGATATAAAGCAACATCAATCTTTGCAAAATATAAGGAAAGCACATAATAATGAATTTTGAGTTCAAAGTATTCTGTCAGCTTTATTCAGAGTCTTAAGTGGAACTAAAGATTGGAAATGTTGCTCTTTCCAATTTTCCAACTTTAAAAATAGTACCCAACCCACCTACCATTTGGGGGATTGAAGCTGAGGAGAACCGAAAAAGAAAAAAGGGGAAAAAATTCCATGAGACTTGGATAAAAGAAGAAACTCAAATTGAAGCCATCAGAAGTATTTAAGTTTCACGTCTCCTAGTGCTCTTTACCCCCAAGCTCTAAATTTTATTAGATTAAGAAGTTATCAATTAATGTTTCAAGATAAAGCAAAGACTTCATGAAGTGACTGTTGGTATGGATCCCCAAACCTGAATATCAGTTGAAGAGTGTCAGGGAATAAGGGAGAGGCAACAGAACCAGGCAGACCAAGGACTATCACCAGCCAACTGTAGACTGTCAGTCTCAGAAAGGCACCGAGTTAAGAGAAGGTGCTTACCCAAATGCCAGTGTCACCCATGTTGAGTTTCTATCAAATGTATAAATCCCTAACTTCATGCTGAGGCTCTAACCTATTTTGACTTAACATGCCTTATTTCAACTTTGGAGTTGTTTGTTTTTTATTATTAATATAAAACCAAATATTACGAAGAAGATCTATAAAGTTAATACAACTATTTTTTAGTATTCAAGTTTTTATTTATGTATATATATTGTTTACATAACTATAATCCTAACATGCAAGCCTTACAATAAGCTTCAATGCTATTGTTGAGCAAGAACTAACTGAACTAGGACTCTGCTAGTTATTGGGTTTGAGTTCTAAGTGCAATGTAACTTTTTTTTTTAAGATTTACTTTCTTTAGATAGAGAGCAAGCGAGCACAGGCATACAAGCAGGGGGAGGGGCAGAGGGAGAGAATCTCAAGCAGATTTCCTGCTGACTGTGCAGCCCCAAGGTCATGACCTGAGCAGAAATCAAGAGTCAGATGCTGAACCAACTGAGCCACCCAGTTGCCCCAAGAGATTTAACTCTTAATAAATAGTTCAAGGTATATAAATTTTATGTTAATAGATTTAAAATTACTAAAATATTTATTTTAATATATATTTTTGTATCTGTACATTTACATCTAATTTCTGTCAGCAGAAATTTTTTTTTTTAATTTTTAAAATTCTAGTGTAGTTAACAGTGTTATGTTAGTTTCAAGTGTACAATGTAGTGATTCAGCAATTCCATACATTACTTAGTGCTCATCGTGGTAAGTGTACTCTTAATCCCCTTTACCTAGATCACCTATCCCCTACTCACCTCCCTTCTGGTAACCATCTATTTGTTTTTTATGATTAAGAATCTGTTTGTTTCAGTTTGCCTTTTCTTTTTCCTTTGTTCATTTGGTTTCTTAAATTCCACACATGAGTGAAATCATATGGTATTTATCTTTCTCTGACTTGCTTAGCATTATACCCTCAGGATCCATCCATGTTGTTGCAAATGGCAAGATTTCATTCTTTTTTATGGCTGAATAATATTCCATTGTATATATTTACCACATCTTCTTTATCCATTCATCAGTCAATGGACACTTAGGTTGCTTCCATATCTTGGCTATTGTAAACAATGCTGCTATAAACACTGGGGTGCATGTATCCCTTTGAATCAGTATTTTTGTATTCTTTGGGTAAATTCTTTGGCTGGATTGTAGAGTAGTTCTATTTTGGAATTCATTCATTCTGAAATTCATGGTCCATCATCATCAACATTTTATCTTCAATGTATTCTCTGGTGATTCTCTTCACCTTTTTGTTCTAACAAACTTGGCTCTCATCTGAGCTTTCAAATGGTGGCTGAGCTTCCTTTTGCCTTCTGAACTTAAGTGATGATTTCCCTGTCACCTTCCCTTCTCCCACTGGCCTGGGAGTTGATTTAGAGTATTCAACTAGCTCCTTGTCACTGCTTTCAAACCATTTTCCCTCCTGCATTCCCCAAAACCAAACTCTGAAACTTTATCATTTGATTATATATCTACTTCCCTTACTGTAGCTACCAGCTACTGAATTTGAAAATATTTTCCTTTGGTTATTAACAATTTGAACTCCTAGAACACAGTACTCAGTATTACTCCTGCCTGTCTTAATTACTGTCAATTTCAGTAGACACTTAAGTACCTTCCATCACTTCAAACCCTCAGTTTCTTGAACATCATTCTTCCAGTAGTCTTGTACTCCAACCTATTTTCTAGGATCATGCCTTAAACTTTGCCACTGCCGGGGCACCTGGGTGGCTCAGTTAAGCGTCTGACTCTTGATTTCAGCTCAGGTCATGATCTTGATCTTTTGAGATCAAGCCCCACGTTGGTCTCCATGCTGGACATGGAGCCTGCTTAAGATTCTCTCTCTCCCTCTGCCCCTTCCCCCCTCCAAATAAAAACAAAACAAAACAACTCTGCCACTGCCAATAATGTAACTCCCCTGTAATACCTCTTTTATTCATCCCATCTTCTGGCTGGTTTCTACATTTGTAGCTTACTTCCTCTAGTATCCAGACTCCAAAAATCCTTTGACTGTATGGGAATTTCCAAATCTTTAGATCATCCACTTTTATTATCGAACACCCCCTTAATGTCCTTTCTTCCTTGCTTATCCAGTTTAAATTCTATAGTCAGCAATTACAACTGCTTACTGTACATTCTGAACTTCACTGTTCGTCTTCATCTATAAAACTCCCTTATCAAATCTACAATCCTGACTAAACTCAACACTCAGACTACTCTGCACCTATGCAGCTAAATGTGGCTGGAGAAAATCCACAACCTCGCTGGCTGGGTTCACTTTAAATTCATGGGCGCAACCCTCTGGAAGGCCCTTAATGTTGCTCCATCAATTCTCACCTCTCCCTCTAAAATAGTCTGTTCTCACTAGATTATTCCCAACGGCCAACCGCCATGCTGTTGTGTCTCTCAGGGTAAGCAGCAGCGCAATTCATTCTCTTGAAACTACCACCACGCATCTCTGCTTCCTTTTGCAACAAAGCTTCAAAGAGCTTCACCCTTGCTATCTCTAGTTCCTCTCCTCCCATTCTCTCTTCATCTATTCCAATCTAGCTTTCCACTAAAGCACTCCCAGGAAGCTGCTCAGCCAAATCAGCAGTGGCCATCTCGTTACTGAATTCAATGGTTAATTCCCAGTCATCATCGCATTTGACCTATCAGCAAAATCTAACACCATTGATCACTCTGTTTTCCTTGATATACTCTCTTCTCTTGGCTTCCAAGACATCCTATCTTCTGGTTTTTTACCTATGTGATTGACTTCTCTTTCTCAGCCTCTTCTGATGTTTGCTTCTCTTGTCTGAAGCCTATCATTATAGTAACCGGAGTTCAGTCTCCATTTTCTGAGAGAGACCCACTCCATTACTGAACTCATCTGGTCTTATGGCTTTAAATGCCATCTATAGGGGCGCCTGAGTGGCTCAGATGGTTAAGCCTCAGATGGTCTGCCTTCAGCTCAGGTCATGATTTCAGGGTCCTGGGATTGAGCCCTGTATCGGGCTCTAGGCTCAGTGAGGAGTCTGCTTCTCCCTCTCTCTCTCTGTCTCTCTCCCCTGCTCATTCTTTCTCTCTCTCTCCCTCTCTCTCTCTGTCTCAAATAAATAAATAAATTTTAAAAAGTCACCTATATGTGGTAAATATATCCAAGGAAATGTTATTCAACCATGAGAAAGCAGGACATCCTGCCATTTGCAGTAACACGGATAAAACTTGAGCACGTTATGGTAAGTCAGACAAATGTATGTACTACCACATTTATGAAATCTAAAAAAGCCATATGCATAAAAACAGAGTAAAATGGAGGTTACAGAGGATGGGTAAAGGGAGCAGATAGGACTGATATTGTCTAAGGGTACAAACTAAACTTTTGAGAAGTAAGCACTAGAAATCTAATGCACAAGATAGTGAATATAAACAATATTATATTATAATCAAACTTGCTAAGTGGCTACAACTTTTCAACCACAAAAAAGAAAGGATAATTACATAATGTGCTAGAGACCCTAACTACCACTACAATGGCAATCACGTTACTACATATAAACGTATCAATTTAATATATTGTGCACCTTAAAAGTACATGTTATATGTCAAATATATTCCAATGAAAAATCTTAAATAACATCTATATATAACTACCAAATATACACGCTACAATTGCAAATTTGTACTTTTGATCCAGACCTCTTTTTTAAACTCCAGACTTGAGAGCCAGCTATCTTCCCAACCTCTCCATTTGGCAGTCAAACAGACAAAACTTAATACATCCAAAACCTAATTCCTAAATTTTTTCCCCCAAAACTTGCTGCACCTACACTGACTTCCCATTCTTTCATGCTCCACATAGACTCCATCAGGATATTCAGTTGGTTCAACAGTAAAAATGTAACCAGAACCCACAAGTTTCCACCACCTCCCCTGCTACCAACCTGATCTAGCAACCATCATCTATTAGTTAGGTAAGGGCAACTGCCTCCTAACCTTCCAACCTGTCAGCCTACCTATACTCAATACAACAGCCACAGTGATCTTTTTAGTAAGTAAGATCATGCCACCCCTCCACTCAAAGTCATCCACCAGCTCATCTTTTCATACATAATCAAAGCCAAAGCAATTATAATGGCCTGCAAGGTTCTACATGATTTACACCCTCACTGCCTCACCCACTTCCTGTCCTATCACATTCCTCCCTGCTTACTGAACTCAGTTACAGCCAAATTGTCTGTCTTGCTCTTCAAAGAAAATTTGCATTGGTTACTCCCTTCTCCTAGAACCCTCTTTCTCAGATGTCCTCATGACTAAAATCCCTCCAAGTTTTTATACAAAAGTAAAAAATTTTAATAAAGCATACCCAGATCTCCCTATTAAAAATTCCAACCCTGGCCAACAGCACCTCCCAACTTCCCTATATTTTTCACAGGACTTAGTCCTCTAATGTTATAAAATTTAGCTATTTATTGTTTATTATTTATCGATCTTCCCCTCATAGATAGAATATAAACTCCATAAGGGCAAAGATATTTGTCTCCTTTGTCGGCTGATGTATCCCGAGTGTCTAGAAGAGAGCCTGGCACAAAGGAGACATTCCATAAATATTTCAGGAGTGAATAAAATATTTCTTGAATACCAAATATATTATCAAGTACAGTCTAATTATATATTGCTGAATAAAAAAGTTAAGAGTTCCTATCTCAATCTCCTATTACTACTCAATTCCAAAGTCTGTCAGTATAGAAACCATGACTAATTCTTTTTACCTCATGCACTCTCAAGGAGTATACTGTAAATATTTATTAAGACTAAATGAAAAGATTGAATCATAAATCAGTTTATACTCAAAATATTAGCTGAAATTAAGCTATACAGTGTCTCTAAAGTTGCAGTCTTATTAAAAATGATTAAATTTATTTAAAATGACCTCATGCTACTGCCTGTCATTGAGAAAATATTCTTTGAAACAGCTCTAGTAAGGATCTAAAGATTAAAATCCCTCCTAATGTACCATATCTCACATATTAAACTAAACATAAAAATAATTGAAATATTTCTCTTTAACTGAAAATTTTTTTCTTGATACTAAAAAAGCAGTCTTCCCCAACACATTCTATTTCAGTAAGTGGTATATTTTATAATTTTTTTAGTTGTATTTTCATGGAAATTTAATTTCTTTGTAATAATTTCTGGCCCAATTACTGCTACTGAGTTACTGACCTAAAGTAATGGAAAGAATTCCATTCCATTCCATTCAATTCAATTCAAACTTTCAAACAGAAACATCAATTAAGTGACGTTAATATTTACCCACTGGGACTCAATCACAGATCAGCAATCAATAAATTTGCAAATAGTCCATTTGATTAATGATCAAATGTCTAACATTATTATTAAACATAATATACATTCATATGGCCTATGAGTTGGAATAAACTTCAAACTAGATTAGAAAAAAAGACTTTTGTCATATATAAGCTGCCTTCTCTGACCACTACCAGATCTACCTATAAAATGAATCTTTATATTGAAATCCGTCTTAACCACATAGTTGTTAGACTGAAATAATGCCATCCAGTGTTGTTACATATTGTGATTCTATACACAATCCTGAAATCTCAGAGAGTAGTAGGCCACTTTTTCTGAGTTATCCTGTATAACCAGAAACAAATGGAATACAACTATTAGGTGTTTAAACTTCTATTACCCCACAGGCTCTTTCCCATCTCCGATCACTAGTTTTGGTTTTACCACACCATGAGGAATAAACTCATTGCGGTTTAAGTCCTTCCAGAGGAAAACAGACATATACTATTTTAAAAACCAAGAATCATCCTTAAACTTTTCACAGATTTTTACTTATCTTTTTCACTGAACACTGCCGTATTTGCAGCAGATGTGGTATTGTGTTCACCTGGGTTCATGTGGGAATGTGCCCTGCTGTGTGCTGGAACGTAAGAAAGACTCTGGAGAGGGGCGCCTGGGTGGCTCAGTCGTTAAGCGTCTGCCTTCGGCTCAGGTCATGATCCCAGGGTCCTGGGATCGAGCCCCGCATCGGGCTCCCTGCTCGGCAGGAAGCCTGCTTCTCCCTCTCCCACTCCCCCTGCTGGTGTTCCCCCTCTCGCTGTGTCTCTCTCTGTCAAATAAATAAAATCTTTAAAAAAAAAAAAAAAAGAAAGACTGGAGAAAACGAAGAAATCTGTAGAGTGAACAGTCACTGTAAAGACTTTTGGTTATTTAATTCAGCTGACTACATACCTTGCCCAGTAATTCTCCCAATGTGACATCTTCGTGATTGAGAACCCATTTCTTATCCTAGGGCAAAGAAAAAGAACAGCCTTTTTAGCCCAAGCAAGAGTGCATTTCCTGTAAGGTCCATTTGAGGCAGTAGCCAAGAGAACTAATGGGTATTTCATTCAGACCATTAAATCAACAGCACTCTGACAAGTTGTAACTTCAAGAGGTTATGAAACAGATTTAAGAAATGTTACTAACCAATAGGATTTTAAAATCTACATTACAGCTAACTTCTATCAGAAATCTCAGCCTTCAGAATGATAGTATCCTTGTAACCAGAACACTGCATGCCCTTTCCTCCCACCATAAAGTTTGGCTATGCTTTAATTTGTCATTTCACAACAGTTGTGTCCTAAGTACATGAGGGAATATCATTGTACAATGCAAAATGTCCAATCCCCACTTGAGCATCTAAGATAACATTACTAAGAGCTAATTTTTCCACTTGTAAACTGGCCATGAGTTATAGCTGTCTATGACACTCACTACATGTAGTTCCTCATCTTTTACAAGTACTTTCTTATAGTATAATAAAGCAGCAAGTATCAATTACAATATCACTAGGGTACACAAGATTAGTAATGCAAACATGCCATTATAAAAGAGCATCCTATTATCTGATTTCAAGAACTAACTACTACATAGGGAATATTTTATCATCTAAAAATCCCAGCTAGGAAACTACACAATACTGTAAGGTTAAAAAGGCACATAATTTTTTTTAAAAGAAAAAGGAACAAGTAATGAAGCAAGAAAGAAGGAGAGAGAAGAAGAAATGAAGAAAAAGAGGGAAGGAAAAACAGGGGCATGGGAGAAGAGAGAGAAGAAAAAGGAAGTCCTGGGGTGATATATTTTCTTCATAACTTGTTTTTTTTTATTAAATGTTAAAGTGTAGTATTCCCCCAGTATACAGACTGAAAACTAATATGATCCACAGAATGAGTCATAACAAGTAATCACATATCTTAAAGTAAAAATCCACCCTATCTTTAGTTTAAAAATATTCTGGACAGCCATTTGAAGCATTTTACTTTCTGGAATGCCATAAAACAAACATGGCCACCACCCTCTGCTAGGTCAACAAAGAGAACAACGTTGACTTTTTTCAGTAACTGTTTACATGTATAGTCTTTCAAACTAAATATAAAGCTAGAGCCATAAAGGACCTGAAAGAAAACAGGAGAATAGCTTCATGATCAAGAGAGTAAGCAAAGATTTTTTAGGATACAAAAAGCACTAACTATAAAAGAAACAGTTGGAATTCATCAAAATTATAAACATTTGTTCTTCCAAGGGCCATCATTTGAAAAATGAAACAGCAAACTACATCTGGGAAAACATTTCTGCATTACATCTATCTAACAAATAATTGAGTGTAGGGAATTCATGCCTCAGTAAAAAGTTGAGAAACAACCGAATTTTAAGATATTGGGTAAAAATCTACAATAGCCAAATTATGTGAACATGGCTGATAAATGGATAAAGAAGATAGATAAATAATAGATAAGTAAGTGATATATGAATAAATGTTCATGTGATATATCTCAGACACACACACACTGGAATATTATTCAGCCAAAAAAAGAATGAACTCTTGCCATTTGCAACAATATGGATGGAGCTAGAGAGTACCATGCTAAGCAAACTAAGTCAGAGAAAGACAAATACCATATGCTTGCACTCATATGTGGGATTTAAGAAACAAAATAAACAAGCAAAGGGAAAAGTAAGAGGCAAACCAAGAACAGACTCTTAACTATAGAGAACAAACTGATGGTTACCAGAGGGAAGATGGGTAGAGGGATGGGTGAAATAGGTGATGGGGATTAAGGCGGGCACTTGTTGTGATGAGCACTGTTATATGTAAATGTTGAATCACTAAATTGTACACCTGCAACTAATTTTACACGGTATGTTAACTGGAATTAAAATAAAAACTTCAAAAAATAAGTCGGATAAAAAATGTGAAAGAAGATGGACAAATAATAAGTACATCAAGAGATGTTTGAGTACTATTAGTCAGTGACATACAACTATAAACCACAGTAAGATGCCAATTCGCACCCACTAGAATATGAAAATTAAAAAGATTAACAGTATCAGGAGATCGTGAGCATATGGAGCAATTGGAATACTCATACACTGTTGGTAAGGCCGTTAAATGGTACAGCCATTTTGGAAGACAATTTGGCAGTGTCTTATGAAGTTGAACATCTACATCAAGATGAGAATCAATAAACAAATTTTGGTGTAGTCAGGCATTTAGTTATTATTCAGCAATAAATAGGAATTTATTTCAAATAGATAAAACAGAGCACTTGCACAACATTTTGCCAAGCTACTACGGCCAAATATACTTTACATACATGCAGACATAACGAGTTCCTTTATATGAATTGTTAGAAGTGGACAACGTATCTATAATGCTATAAATCAGAGCAGTGATTGCCTGAGGCAAGGGTTGGGGAAGATGGACTGCCAAGAAGGAATTTTGGGGGGTTTAGGGAAATATTCAGTTTATTGATATTTCATTGAACTATACACTTAAAACCTGTGCATTTTGCTGCATGTAAATGATTTCCATAAGGCTGATTTTTTAAAATGAGAAATGTAAAAAAGCAAATATGCTACTTTTCATTTGAGTAGCACTTCTGGGTTTAATTTCCACTCCATCATACACTATCAAAAGTATATTATCAAAAGAATGCAGTCTGGCAGGCAGGAGAGTTATTATTTTAAAGTTGCAAAACTGATTTGTTGAGAACTTTTTCATTTCAAACAGTGGTAAAACAGGAGGATCACACCAATTCTCCCCCTGAAAACCACTGAAAAAACTGGATAAAATTTAAGAACAAAAGCAGAAAAGCTCCAAACTTTTATTCAAGAGGCCTGAAAAGCAAGTGAAATAGTAAGGACTGAGAGGCTAAATTCAGGTTAAGACCAAAAGTTGAGGGGCGCCTGGGTGGCTCAGTTGGTTAAGCGACTGCCTTCGGCTCAGGTCATGATCCTGGAGTCCCGGGATCGAGTCCCGCATCGGGCTCCCTGCTCGGCAGGGAGTCTGCTTCTCCCTCTGCCTCTCTCTCTCTCTCTCTGTCTCTCATGAATAAATAAATAAAATCTTAAAAAAAAAAAAAAAAAAAAAAAAAGACCAAAAGTTGAGTTAGGTTAAGAAAAGTTAAATTTAGGTTAAGAAAGGACCCAAAAGTCAAGACCTTTTGGGCTACCTTTAGCATGTGCTGATTTTGAAAGCAGCACCAAAAACAAACAAACAAACAAACAAAAACAAAACGCGCGCGCGAGCGCGCGCGCACACACACACACACACACTAAAGGACATTCTCTACTAGAGGGAACAAAGGAAGAAAAACAAAAACGGTGAAAATTTGAGTAAATATAATAGACTCTTCTTCTCTTGCATTCTTTAAAATATGCTCGACAAATAGAAAAGAGAGGTATAAAACTTTTTGATGAGTTGTTCAATTGACTTAGATGCAATACATATGAAAAGTACAAGGAGGGAAAGGTATACAGATCCATACTGTAATAAAGTTTCTGCATCCCACTTGAAGTGTTAGGGTATTGATTTTTTGTAAACGGTGAAAAGTTAAATGTTTTTGATAGTTCCTAGAGCAACCACTTAAAAAAAAAAAAAGGCACAAAGCTACATAACCAAAAATACAAGAGAAAAAAATGTAACGGCATAGTAAAAAGCGTTCAAATAACTCAAAAGAAGGTAAGAAAGGGGAAAAAGGAAAACCAAAATCAGAACAAAATATAAAATGGTAGTCCTAAATCCAAACATACCAATACCATACATCAGACAATTAAAAGACAAATTTTTAAAAAGAATATTAAAAAGGAGTCAACTATGTGCTTTCTTAAGAAACTCACTATAGGGCGCCTGGGTGGCTCAGTTGGTTAAGCGACTGCCTTCGGCTCGGGTCATGATCCTGGAGTCCCGGGATCGAGTCCCGCATCGGGCTCTCTGCTCGGCAGGGAGTCTGCTTCTCCCTCTCACCCTCCCCCCTCTCATGTGCTCTCTCTCATTCTCGCTCTCTCAAATAAATAAATAAATCTTAAAAAAAAAAAAAAAGAAAAGAAACTCACTATAACTTTAATGATACAAGTATCTCAAAAGGATAGAAATAGATATAAAATGAAAACATAAATCGTAAGAAAGCTGGAACACCTAGTAATGTCAGACAAAGTAAATACACAGCTAAAAAAATTACCATGGATAGAGGAAAATCACATAATGATAAAATGTCAATTCACCAAGAAAATGCCATTATCCTAAAAGTCTATGATTCAAACACCAATACTTCAGAATGAAGGAAACATGGACAGAATTACAAGAACAATTTCACAATTATAGTTGGAGATTTCAAAACTCCTCTCCCAGTAATAGACAGGAGAGAGAAAATCAGCAAGGATATAAAATAACTGAATAATACCATCAACCAAGTAGATAAAATTGATATTTATAATAAAACTCCACTCAACAGCAGAATAAAACCCTCTTTGCAAATGCATAAGGAAAATACACCAAACTAAATCATATCATAAACCTGGATCATGGAACAAATCTTAACAAATATAAAAGAAACGAGGTCATACAAGTTATGTTCTCTGACAACAAAATTTAACAGAAATCAATAACAAGGTTAACAGAACGTTTCCAAATACTTGGAAATTTAACAGCATACTTTTAAATGATCATGGGTGAAAGAAAAAGTCTTAAGCAATTCTAATTTACAGCTAGGTAAGCTAAACTAATTAGATGACTAAGGTAAGCTTAACAAATTTAGTTTACAGAATGTTTAGTTTACATTTGGGTTTTCTATCTTATGTTGGTTAATATTTGGTGTGAGTATTGTTTGTACTGACCTCATCCTGAACCTCTTATGTGCTATTCTGGAATATATACCTGTGCATCCACTATTTCTAGTTTAAGATTTATGACATAATATGCATCTGGAATTTACCCTCATTTTTAAGAAAGGAGATGTTTTATCTCT